CCCTACGGCTGAAAGGGCGAGCATGTTTGGTGGAATGCGGATTCGAACCCGCGACCCACAGATTGTGAGTCGAGCGCCTTATCCACCTGGCCATGCCGGGCCTCGAGACTTAAGAAGACTGGATGTTTGATGAAAGGGAAAATAATAAGTACGTTACCTTTGTTTCAAATTAAGTCAAAAATATTCTTGTGATAAAAACTATTCGTATACGATAATTTGGTAAACAATTTTATCAACATCCTATGCTTTAATAACTTTTATATAAAATTAGTAACAAAAACTGAAAAATGTAAACAAAAAAATATATATATATATTTTTTAAACTGCAGTATACACCCCCCCCAAAAAAAAGGGGGATGTAAACATGTTACCCAGCTCGGTCAATATCGTGTGTAAAATAACCTCAGCCACGGTAGGGTAAAGACAAAGGAAAGTCACTGGCTAACTACGCCTACAATACAACTATGAAAGATTTAGTTATTTTCTGACTACTTACTGATTGATAAACCCAATATTCGACAACCCATAGATATATAGCCACATATTGTCTTTACGTCACTAATCGTTCTATTTGTTCCATCCCAGGCATATGGCTGTTTTCAGGAGACAATCGCGGTGTCACCGGCCCCAATACAGATGAAGTATGGAAAAGAAAACGGTCGTGGCCCCCATGAACAATGACCTTATTCGTGCATAATACAATGTCACTATTGTTACTTTGTTATAACCAATACTCTTGTGGGGGTTAGCTGTCAGAATGATCTTTTCCTGAGAACATTTAGCCCCTTCGCTTTGTATCTTGCCTTGCTACTCCACCACAGTAACTTTGAATCGTAGCTAAACACACTGCTTCTGCTTCACTGGGTCGGGATTCTCTTATCACAAAAGGCATCAATGTTCTGTCTGCTGGCCCCTGTACTGACGATAGACACATAGGTTTTACCCCTTTATGTTCTCCCTAAAGTTAACTGGGGGAGGGGCTTCTGATAAAGATAACATATTTGAACTGTTCCTTGAAATTGACAAACAGGTATATAAATTGAAATAGTTCCTATAGCTAAGGATTTGCTGTTAAAGGTAACTTGAGTAAAACAACAAAACCTAAAAAGTTACTCAGTTGAAACAGGATAACATAAAAAAACATCCACTAATACTTAAGTTGCTACAGGTAAAAGAATACAGGACACTATCGCCACCATGTGGTATAAAATGGAACCTGTATGATGTTATACGTGTCATTTACTAATACAACAAAATCATATACAAGAGAAATCTGAGAGGCTGACACCATGCTAACACCTAACAACCTTTATTAACTTTTTCAGGGATGAGCTGTAATATATGATTATATTTCCCCACATACTCTATCAAAATCTACATCATGGCCAAAACAAATAAGGCTATAGCTTAAAGTAATGATTGCTCTGGTCAGACACCTAAGTTGTTGGTAATGGTTTTGTGTGTTTTACTTGGTTCAAGCTATTTGCTTATTACAAAATCACAGTTTAACAATTTCTATATTCAAGAGAGAAATGCAGCTTACAACGTGACACTTAAAAAAAACCCGAGCTTTATCATCATGGCCAAAACAAATAAGGCTATAGCTTAAAGTAATGATTGCTCTGGTCAGACACCTAAGTCGTTGGTAATGGTTTTGTGTGTTTTACTTGGTTCAAGCTATTTGCTTATTACAAAATCACAGTTTAACAATTTCTATTTTCAAGAGAGAAATGCAGCTTACAACGTGACACTTAAAAAAAACCCGAGCTTTATCACCTTACTTTATTATTCGTACAATGCTTCCTGTTTGGGTTAGGATGAAATATACGCTCAAAAATCCTTGATTGGTTACGACGCTACGCCACTGAACCAAATTACAGGGGCGTTCAAAATCATTTCGTCACGTGGGTTCAACAACGCCTGCTGCGTATAGCGAGATACATTCAACCGACCGGCAGCTACCTTCTGTCTGATACGGCTGTGTTGTCTATCGCTCCCGGCTATGCCCGGTTTGCCTGCTTGTCTAACTTCATGCCCTCGCTAGCTAGGAGAGTGTTTGGCTGAGACGGAGGCGCCGATCTCGCTCTATCACCCGTAAGGAGTGGCCAGGAACATTCGTACACAAAAAGTGGAAAAGTCAGCTTCGGCTCTTTGTTTGTTTATTTTTTTTATCAGCAGTTTGACTCAGCCTAGGACTATATTTTCCCTCAAGGAACTTACAGGTTTGAACTCTACCACAACACCGCCAAAGGAAGCTTTGCATGCACCGTATACCAACTACACCAGGACCATTCAACATCGTGGATATAATATGTACAGGTACGAAGACGATTATAGATTAATACGATATGATATTAAAAAAGCTTTTCGAAACATTATCTAACAAATATAACAAAAATTTTCAAACACATCAACGGCATACTCTACCTGCTTATAACACCGGCCTCTTTGCAACTTCAGTCATTCCAATCAACTACAAAAACATTCCCAACACACATTTATATGCTGCTTCTAGCGTTTTCTGTTTGGTAATTTGCACAAAAGTAGTATGAAAAGAAAAAGTCTACCAAATAACGTGCTTTGGTAGCACTAAGAAGTGGTTGCTAAATATTCATACAATTTAACTTTTCTACAGTTTGTTAAAATAAATATTTTAAACAAATGTATCTCCATATAAATGAAAAAATGACAAACAAATTTCAGCCAAAAGATACAACTGTTACAAGCAACAAAAAAAGTCAAATCACTGTTAAAACCACGTCGCAAGTACAGTTTCAAATATTAAAAAGGTCGAACTGCTGATAAAATCATGTTGCAAACAAAACATCGAGCTACTGTTAAAACAGCAGGTACAGTTACAAACAACAAAATGTAAAAAAGCGCTCTTAAATCTATGTTTTAAACAACGCAAAACGTCGAGCTACTGTTAAAACCATCTCACAAGCAACACAAAACGTGGAATCACTGTTAAACACATTATATCAATTAAAGTGTGACAATAAAAACCGATATTGTTGGAATCCGTGTTAAGCTACAGTGTTTATAAAATATGTCGAAAATTATTTTCGTATTTAATGCAAAATCTTGAGTTTTTCGTTACTTATCTATCGTTATTGCTGCGACTTATAGGCGGCTGTTCGCAGCCAAAGCTCGATGACGTTGACCCCGAATGTTTTTTTTTAATGTCAATATATTCCTACATTTATCATTAACCATTAATCGTTGCTTGTCTAATATAAAATTCATGTCTAAAATAATGTGGACAAAAAAACAACTACTGTTTTAATAAACGAGCATCAACTTTTTATAAGCTCTTAGAAAATATGGTCGTGGAATTATTGACAAAACTAAAAATTGAAAATTATGGTATATCAATATCTTCATTAAAAACGTCTTTATTCCATTTTTCTGTGGCTATCTTATTTTGAACGAAAACATTTAAAGTAACTTGAAGCAGTTTATCAAATTTTAGAGAACTATTATAAAGTTTGTTTCACTATCAACAAATAATCGACATAAAGTTGAATTATTTTAACATATTTATCAAGAAATTTTTAAGCTAAAAATCTTTTAGCTCCAAAGTTGTTCTGTAAAACATGAAAAACTTGCACGAGCTACAGGAGACGCAACCTGCAGCGCGAGACACGTGAGCTAGTGTGCAGCCGTTCTCTTTCGGCCTGACACTGTGCTGCCCTTTAGAATACCTGGTTCCCATCTTTGCCCTCCACGCGTGAATCCGTGTTTTTCAATATCTTTAAAATGATAAAAACAGCTTACAATAAAACGTCATTTCGAGAGAACCTTTCACAGATACAAATTTGGAAAGAAATTCTTACCTTGTTTACCCGCCAAAAATCTAAAGCAGCAGATGAATAACGCCAGCACAGAAAATACTTTCCAAGACCCTCTTCGACTCGACGCCATCACTGCATATGACAGCTTTCTCTTCTGATAATTTACCCCTCCAATGCTCCGTTGAGCACTCTCTCATGCTCCGCCCAGCTTATTTCGAATGCGTGATGTCATTTCCGGATGCTGCAATTCGTTGGATTTCATAGGCTTCGTTTTAAAAGAATGCGATGACAGCTATTTTCGATAGATTTGAAATCATGAAAAGTGAGGGGAGCCAGTTATAAAATCACCTTATTATTCTGATTTTAATTGTAACAGTCTGTAAAACTAACTTACTCTATAAAATTCGATATAAATAGCATCAAAATTAATACCAATGATACTGAAGTAGATTAATAGATTTATTAAATATCGAAATTATATATATTTTATGTTAGAAAACAAAAACATAACGGAAATAGTTTTTTACTTCTCCTAACTTGAATATAAAACCCTAATTAGTATATTGATTAATATAAGTGTTATCAACATTCTTAATGAAAAGGGATTGCTAACTGAGAAAATCTGATTACTAAAGAAAGAAGTGTCAGCAGAGAAAATTAAAATGTTCAGCTGTTTTAAGACTTAATTTGAAACATGTTTACATATTAACTTGCTTCAATTTTAGGGATATTAGATGAAACCGAAATTTAGGCTTAAGCTAAGTTCCTTAAACACTTGTACACGCATCTATATTCCAATCTGTTCAACAGCGTATATTTTGTTAATTACAGTTTGTAGAAACGTTCCCTACAAGGCTATGTTTTATTTTGGATATTTTCCTTCCTGACTATCTTTACACCTTTAAACTATGTACTTGGGTTTACCAAGACACACATCCTGGATAGCATGATATCAATCTGAGTTATTCAAACATTTCCTTTGGAATAGAGGTTTCGGTTTCTGACTAACTTTGGGCTATATACTTTTCTCAGGTGTGAGTCTACTTTAATCGCATGATGTCAACCTGAATAATTCGAACAATCTGTCTCACATATCATGGTCCTTGTACTATAATGAAAAAAGATTTGCATGGATGTTAATCAAATAAATATTTGTTTTGTTTTTGAATTTCGCGCAAAGCTACACGAGGGCTATTTGCGCTAGCCGTCCCTAATTTAGCAGTGTAAGACTAGAGGGAAGGCAGCTAGTCATCACCACCCACCGCCAACTCTTGGGCTACTCTTTTACCGACGAATAGTGGGATTGACCGTAACATTATAACACCCCCACGGCTGAAAGGGCGAGCATGTTTGGTGTGACGGGGATTCGAACCCGCGACCCTCAGATTGTGAGCCGAGCGCCCTAACCACCTGGCCATGTATCAATATTTATCTTTCATCTTCGCAGTATTTATTCTCTCGAAAAAAAAAATCCTCTCTTGACGAAGGTTTTCATGCCTGCCAATGAACATCAACATTCCCTTTCTAATGTTTTGAACAAAATTCAGCCTCCGAGTTAGAGAAGACAGTTTTCAAAACGTCTCATTATTTTAACGAAATTAAATGGTATAATTCAACAATTGAAAAGAAATACATTGTGCTGATTAAGCCTTATAATCTCTTTTTTTTTCTTTTTCTTTTTTGCCGCGGCATAGAAGCTCATAGAATGGCTATGAATTATTCAAGTACAAACATTTAGCTCATAGCTCCGTCATCTCTTTACCGATTTGAGATCTAATTATAGTTTTGGACTCCATAGGTCAAACCCTTTCGACTAATATGCCTTACCACGCCCAATGTCTCATAGATTAATTGACTCTAATCTTGCCTAAAATAATTTCAATTTGAGGGTAGGCAGGTAAAGATCCTGATGAGTAATAACATCGAATCGGGTATACGCGCGCCCCACGCTTGGTATTGCTGCCGCACAAAAATACAGCTAATAAAAAGGAAAAATGTCTCGTACATTAATTTACTCTAATCCTGCCTAAAATAATTTTACGTGCCGCGGCTATTGAGGATTCCCTCTTGTTTTCACTTCTAATAATTATTTATGGTAATATAAAAATAATGTTCATGAAAAGAACAACAGCAAAGACACCAAACAGAGCTATGGCTGAATTTTTATTACAATATACATAATCTTTTATAAACTCTTGTTTCTTGTATTATTTTACCACTAATCCTCAACAAAGACACTGGAGTAATTGTGTAAATTATTATACTAGATTTACTTCAGCGGGGTCCCCAAAAGTGTTCTGATTCAAGAGTAAATAAAACCTAAATTAAGAGTAACAAATATTTTTATTTCTTGCTTTTGAAGT